GGGGGGAAGCGGGGGGGAGCGCCCGGCCAGCTGACAGCCCAGACGCTTCTGGGCTGTCAGCTGGCCGCGCGTTCCGCCGCCGCTTTGCTTCCTCTCCCTGGTCTGCTCGAGACCAGGGAGAGGAAGTGCCCCGTTCGTAACTGCGGATCCGACATAAGTCGGATCCGCGTAACTCGGGGACTGCCTGTACAGGCAGATTTGCTGCAAACATCAGCAATTTTCACTCCTCTAAATCTGTTAGAAAGATATTTTAAAAACTGGTATAAATGGATTTGATTGCAGTGTTCAAAGTGATCTATTACTGATGATGGTTAAGTATGAAAGTCAGTATTATTATTATTTGAAATCCTGAAGTCCTTACACAAGCAAAATTCTTATTGAAATCATCAAGTAATTTTGTAAAATCTGAGGGAGGCCTCAACAGGAGTATTGTGTCCAGCTCTGGGCACCACATTTCAAGAAAGATGTGGAGAAATTGGAGAAGATCCAGAGAAGAGCAACAAAAATGATTAAAAGCCTAAAAAACATGACCTGTGAGGGAAGACTGAAAGAACTGGGCTTGTTTAGTTTACAAAAGAGAAGACTGAGAAGGGACATGATAGTGATTTTTAAGTGACTAAAAGAGTGTTATAAGGAGGAGGGAGAATAACTCTGATGACTGGACAAGAATCAGTGGGCTTAAATTGCAGCAAGAGAGGTTTAGGTTGGATATTAGGAAAAATTGCCTAACTATCAGGGTGGTTAAACACTAGAATAAATTGCCTAGAGAGGCCATGGACTCTCCATCCCTGGATATATTTTAGAGCAGGTTAGACAGAGACCTGTCAGGGATGATCTATTCTAGATGGTGCTTGGTCCTGCCATGAGGGCAGGGGACTGAACTCAATGACTTCTCAAGGTTGCTTCCAGTTCTAGTGTGCTATGATTCTATGATTTAACCCATTATTATTCTTACAGTACTTGTCAGCAGCACTGCTGCAGAATCTGTAGGATGTACTGTCTCTAAAAAAATTACAAGTAAGCTGCTTCATTCTAATTATTGACACAAATTATAATCACCAATAAAAAAAGCTATCACACTAACGTATTTTGAACAGATCAGTAAGGTCTATAGCAACAGCACTTAAAATAGTTTACTCAGTTGTCTTGGCTTGCCTAAACTGAAAGATTTATAATATAGTATTCCAGCATTTTTTATTGGTATAAGGCTAAACTAATTTCACGATTTTCAACTAATTTCCCAAGAGAAGGAAATAAAGCCCACTATTACTATGAGTTAAAATTGGGATACTGTAGTTTATATTTTATTGTATGTCCTCTAGATAATAGATTTCTTTTTGCACATCAGGAAGTTGTCAATTATTCAATTCAGAAATACTGAGAAGAAGTGAAAATTTTCTCACTCCAAATTCTTTGAAATCTTCCAAAAGGCTCAGCTTCTCAGGAACAGACTCTAAATGGTCCAAGGCCACTCGAGTACTCTGAAGAATAGAGCACAAGAAAAACAAAGAGTTATAAACATTTTTATAAATGTTCTCATCCATATTTTTCAATTTGAAACAACACATGCATGTACCATTAAACTACTCAGTTAAAAATGATGGTTCCTTACAACTAAAAATGACAACAATAATGCAATTGTCAACAAATTGTACTCTTATCCATGAGCACTCAAAGAATTGTCATCAGTTTCTTGACTGCAGTGATTCTTATTCACAATGGATATCATTTATAATTTTTAATATCATCATCACCACTACCATCACCACCACTGCCTTTAGGAGCCATGGACCCAGATCCCACTGTATTAGATGCTGTACAAACAGAAAAAGAAAAGTCCTGGCCCAGAGACATTAAAGAAGGATTTTAAGGCACGAGACAATAGATGAATATTGACAAATGAGGGAATGCAAAGAAACATGGTATTGACCAGCAAGATAGGCTCTGGTCTCAGGTTCCCAAATTCCAACTGCTGAATAATTGTACAGGTTTTTTATAGACATCTTAGCAAAGGAGAGTTTTAAAGGAGGGTTTTGAAGGAAGATATTGAAGTAATTCTACAGAGGTTTACAGGAAGATCCTGTTAAGCACAAGATGTCACATGGAGAAATCATGAAAGATCTTATTTAACAAGCCTGCAATGGAGACTGGTATCATAGACCAAATGAGGTGAGAGTCAATTTTTTAATAGTGAATGAGAGATGATAGGCAGGCCAGGGATGTGTCTTGAAAATGGAAACAATTAGCTTGCTTGATGTGTCAGAGGAGGAAGGCAGCAGAGGGAAACAAAGAGAACAGTGATGAGGTTAAAACAACATGCTAAGAAAATGATCTCTGTAGAGGCATTCTGATTGGGTATGAGCAGGACAATAAAAGGACCTTGCAGTGACTGAGATATGAGATAAGAATTTGGATGACAGTGTTAACTTTGTGTAGCTCTTAAGGGCTCCGGGGGTGCAGCTTTAGAAAACAAAATGTCCTAGAAATGAACTACATTGCTTAGGGATGCACATTTTTAGTGGAAATTTGAGAAATCCCCTTACAATTGGCTGACTTCACCACCTGCCCACCTCCTGGAGAACAGCAGTAAATCAGACTTGGTTAAAATCAGGCAGAGCTCTCTGCCCTTCCCCTCAAAAGCCTGAGCTTGTTCTTCCCTCGCCTCTGCTGAAAACAACTGGATGGCTCTTCTGCTCCTATCCTCTCCTTCCCTGAAGTTTTTTAATGAATATAGTTTAGATTGCATACTGTGTATTATTTTCTTTGTAATTTGCATTGTTCTGCTTGCTACCTCTTTGTCTACTTAAAATGCACCTTTTCATAGTTAACAAACATATTTCTGGTTTAAAAAACAGCCCAGTTTATGTAATTTCTAATGGGGGAGTGGGTGCATTAGGCTATGCATACCTTCCTTCACATTGAGAAAGGAGGTGAATGTCATATAATTTTGGGTTTGAACCTCAAGGGGGCATAAACATCTGGGTGCTGTAATAAATTCCTTACACTGAATCCTCCCAGAGATAATTTTGGTGTTTATATCTGTTGCTGGTCCTGGCCTTGTCTATGTATTTTGCTAGAGGAGATTTGAGAGCCTGGCTCAGAAAGAGCAAGTAAAAGGGGTCCCAAGCTGGTAGAGAAGGTGGACTCAGTGGTATCTTAAGTACCTCAGTTGGCAGCCCATGGGTCCCAAACTGTCATAGCACTAGCATAGTGATATTAAGAATAACCATAAGAACCTGCAATTTCCTTGCATTGTAATTATAGGAGTGAAGTGGATTTAACAAAAATATTAATTTGTAAATCTGCAACAGAAGTATGTGTGTATGAGCAACCGTCCCCCCAAAGAGGAATGAACCACAGTCAATTTTCATAAATAGAAACATTTACAGTTAAGAATTATCCAAAGAATGTGTGTATAAATACTAAACACTTTATATTAGAAATATATCTACTAAAGATTTTAGGAAGTTTTGGGTAGTGAATCAATAGCAAGTTAGCTGTGGAGAATTTCATACCTATGCCAATGGTACAAATCCAACCGATAGCAAGTTGAGCACAACTGAAAATAAGTGGGAGGTAAGATTCAGGGAAAGTATGTGATTAACTTACATGGTGCATGCACTAATACTGAGCATCTCCTCAGCATTCCTATTGACCAAGTTCCTCTAGAGCTGTACAAAGGCTATTCTTCTATTACCAAAAGGCACCTAGAAGCAACATCCTTTTTTTTCTTTTTTTTAGTGAATAAGACATAGGAGGCCTCACTGGCACATCTTGGTATAAATTACAGTCCTCTGCATCCCACTCTGTTAATCTAGTTCCTAATATACAAACAACCATGAACCTTATTGCTGCTTCTACAAGCTGAAATACAAACTAAAACTAAGCAAAAACACACAAATCTCACAAAATTAATTAGTCAAATGACATGCTCTGAAATCTGTTCAAATTAGCTCAAGACCTTCAAATAAAGAACTTTTACTGATCGTCCTGGAGAGTTCAACTCATCAGACAGCAAGACCATCCTTACTAGGTCCAAGACCAAATTTTAGAGAGTGACAAGGATACCTTTAATTTTAACAGAGTACAAGAGGGAAACAAGTGGATAGCTGTAAGCAAGGACATTACATGTTTAGTGCAGTCTGCCCCAGAAGGCTACAATCTGTATCAAATAAACGGTTACCCAAAACATTAAGGAAGCAACATAACGAATTAAAAAATGTTCCATGGTCAGTATTAGAGCAGGAAATATACACCTCTTTGGCCAGAGACTTAATGTGGCTTTACAAGTCTTCTTTATTCCCCAAAGAAAATCAATCTCTATCAGACTCCCTTTTTAGATGGAGTAAATATAGCAAAGTGTGCAGTTCTTAACAACGTCGCTAGAGTCAAACCTCAATCATCTAAACAGATAAAAGAGTCTATAATGACAAAGGAGTAATGGAACAGATACTCCAATGTCACTCCAGAAAACTATTTTTATTTGCCTGAAATAGTGCCAAGAGGAATCCCCATTCTGCTAAGAGTGAGATGGGCAATAATTTTTAATGGGGGGGGGCCACCCCAAAATTTTGGTAAGTGGTCAAGACCTGCATTTTATGGAGGAAGTGTGGGGTGTAGAAGGGAGCTTGGGATAGAGCACCAGGGTGTGGAGTCAGAGAGAGTTTGGATAAAGGAGAGGGTTATGGATGCAGGAGAGGATTCTGGCTTGGGGGAAGGGTGTAGAAGGGAGTGCAGTGTCTGGGAGGGAGTTGTGACCTGGAGGAGGTGGGGATACAGAGTGTTTGGATGGTGAGCTGTGGTTTGTGGTGGGGATGGGAGGGTTGGTGATCTGGGGCAAGAAGTTGGGGGGAGAGTGGAAGTGGAATGTCAGAGGCAGCCTCTGGCTGGGAGGTGTTTACTTAGGCAGCTCCCAGCCAGCAGCCCAGCATGAACCTGAGACAGGCTCCATGCCTGTCTGCCTAGCCAGCTGTTCCATGTGGCTCTGCGCCAGCACATAAAGGGGGAGTGAGGGAGGAAGGAGGATTCACTTGCTGCCCCCGCCTCCAGCAAAATGTATCAGTGCCCATTAGCTGAAAACTGGCCAATGGGAGCTAAGAGATTTTGCTAGGGGGTGGGGACAGAGTGTGAAGCCTCTCCATCTCTCCCTAGTGTGCAGAGCATGGAGAGCCAGCCTTAAAGTAGCAGATGCTGTGTAATAAGGGTGCCAATGAGGTGGCCATGGGCCAGAACTGATCCACAAGCCACCTTTTTCCCATCCACGTGCTAAAGCATGTACACCTGAAACAAAAAACCAGTTCCTGTCCCAGAGAATTAAAAACCTCAGTAATACCATACCTTATGGTAATGTGAAGATGAAAACATCAAAAATTTAAGTTTCTGAACAGTATAGATAAACAGATTAAACAAAGCAGTAATCTAAAGCAAGAGTCAGGAATCTAAGGCCTAGGGGCCGATGCAGTCCCTGGTTTGCCTGGATCCAGTCCCTGGGGCTCAGGACTCCCCACCTCTCTAGCACTGGGGAGCTGGTGCTAACCTTCTAGCCCTTGCTGATTGGATGGAGCACACAAAAGCTTACTCACTTGTGACTTGTGTGTGGCTCTCAGTGGATTTTTCTGTGGGTCAGCACCCCCCAAACCAAAAAAAGTTTCCCCATCCCTGTACTAAAGGAAAGCAGGCCTGTCTCATCTTTTTGAAAAAATTGTTTCTCTTTGTGAAACTGCAAATAATAAATAAAAAAAAGCTGTGGTGCGTGATCCAAAACTTGCATAAGAAATTAGTTTCTTGGTCTAATAACAGTCCCAAATTTACAAAAGTATTAGTTTTTGCTCAGTTAAAAAAATCTGGAAGTAAATCCAGGATGTTCATCTCCCCAGGTCACATAAAGCATGTTAGCAACCGCCCTCCCTCAAGAAAACAAGGTGTCTTCTGCTGACTCTTTGTGAATTGGTGTCAGCAAAATGGGGGATCAGCAACTATAATCTATATACCTCACAGACTACAGTGACAGATTGTGCCACATACTCTCAAAGAAACTGAGGAACCACCTATTCAGTATCCTATACAATGAACAGAAGAAAATCAAGATGGAGCTCTCAACACTAGAATGTTTCATAAAAAACTAAGCTTCCACACAAACTTCTTTGTGTCTGGAGTTCACAAAAAACAAAGCCACTTACAATGCTCACTTCATTTCCTTACAGAAGAAAAAGGACAATAAATTATCTAAACTCCTACATGCCTCAGGGTTCAACAACTTTGGAACTCTCAATTCACCTGACAACATTGTCAATGTATCCAACCACACTTTTAGCTTGGCAGAAGAGTCCCTTCTATCTCAGGAGATTTGTTCTTATCAGCCTCTTGTAACTATTTGAACCATCTCTCTCTCTCTCTCTCTCTCTTTTTTCTTTCTCCTTCCTTTTTTCTCTTTTCCCTCCCCCTCCACCCCTTATTTATTTTTGGATCTGGACTTCTAATA